TTATCCACTTAGCAATGTACTCGCGCAGTTCTTGGCAGGAAGCTCCGCGCGTCAAAATCTCTGGTGTAAACGATGAGCCGTACACTGTCATGTGTAAGTGTAAGCGCCCGTCCACTTGAGGCTCGACGACAGCATTAAATCCAGCCACTCTTCCGTACGCACCCGCTTCGCGCTCCGTATAATTGCGACTTTTTCGCACGTCTTGAGAAGCCGGACATCGCAAAATCGATTTTTGTAGCAGCTTCACCTGCCTCTCAAACATTAACGCTGCCAAAGCAGGACATCTAGTGGAAATGGATAGTCGCTGTCTCGGGCTTTCCTTCAGGTTTTGGGGAAATAGCTCCCACTGAAAGTGTTCTCTGGTATACACACGTTATCGTCATTCCATGCGTTCAACTTTCTTAGCAACATAACACGATGCAACGTGGTATCATCTTGTTCTGGTGGTGCCACAGTAACCCAAAACGGAGGAAGACCAAATCGAAAACGCATAGCAGCTAGCTTGGGACGTGTAGCGGCGCGTTCAAAAGGAGAAAAAGGTACCGTTCCACCAACGACAGAAAGCAACCGCAATAAGCCAGCATTTAACCGTTTTGCGGTGGGAGAATCTGGATCACGTGCTGCTGTTAAAAGAGACTCTTTGAATTCATCAGAGTTCGCCAATTTCCCCAGTTTTTGTAACGTCTTTGCGTGCGTAGTCACTGCTCTAGCTGTTTTTCGTATTGCTGCATGCCGCTGCAACTGATTGAACAGCGTCGCGATGAGAGAGACGTTACTTTCGAATCTCCCGTCATAGTAACGCATCAAATGCTGAACCAAATCCTGGGGAAAGGACCCTGAAGGAAGCATATCACCTCTCATCATGAAAAGAGTCGGGAACGCACCAGCTATCATGCTGCCGTTTTCATCCCATTCAACAATAGGCTCAGATCCTCTTCGTACGACGGCAACCTCTTCTTGTGTCCCAACAGCATCAATCATGGCGTCGATTATAACAGATCCCATTTTGTCAGAGTGACGCATCGCCGGTTGTAATACAGCAGACTGCTGAATAACCACCTCAGGTGACTCTCCAGTAACTATATCATATCCATACCGCTCGGAATTCACAGCGTTATCAACAGCATGCAAAGCTGCGGCATCACTTACAATAACGCCATTTTCGATAGAGTCCTGCAAACTAGCAAGTCTTTCCGCACCGGCTGTCGAGTCGTCAATTTGAATACCTTCATCCCGGAAAAAACTATGCGTTTCCTTCAAGACATTCAGCCACAAAAAACACTCTTACTTGGTAGCTCATAAAGACCACGAAATAAATGTTTCTTCGCTCTCCACTCTTCGGACGGTCCAATGAAAGTGACACGAGGCTTGCGCTCTATGTCTGTCGAAGGAAGTACTTTTGCGCAAGCTTGTGGGC